AGCTGAAACCAAACCCAGAGATATGATTCTTTAGAGTCTTCTATAAATCTATCTTTATAGATCTTCTATAAATCTTCTGTAAATCTATCCTTTTACTAATTTTGAAACAGTGAAAAAGTTAAAATATATTCATATTTAGTCAATATAATAACAAAATTTATATACACAAATGTATTTACTATTTGTACTTGACAATAATTTTAACACAAATATGTTTGAAAGAACATAAATGAAATTATTCAATTTTTTAAGATGCAGCAATTTTATGTCTGCCACAACCTAATGGAATAACCATCATTTGAGGGTCTCTTATCTTTTAGAGTTTTTTTAAACATAGTTTCATTCATCACCTAAAGTTATGCCATTTGACATAAATTTATTCCTAAATGACATGCATTAATATAAGGCCCAGGAAGTTTAAGTAACATGAACTATATCACAAGTTTTATAATTGAAAAAACAAAGTCATTCCATCCTGTTTGACTAATAGCTTGCGTTCTGTCCACTCCAGCATTTTGAGAATGAGCATAGTTCATTAATGAATAGGCATGGCTTTGGCCGGAAGATAAGCCTCTAAATCATTATACTAATTGAATGAAGCTAAATAAAAGGTCACCAGTTGTGACTGTATAATTCCCTATATACGAAAAGCCCACAAGAGATAAATCTATGGAGCACAGCACAGATTGGTGGTTGGTAGGTTCTGGAGAGATGCAGAGGTGGGGAAGAAATTCTTAAATCAGGAATTTTACTAAGTAGGAATGGCATTTAGACGGAGGTGGCGATTACACAAAAGTATAGATTAGCTACACGAAACATTCATTTTAAAATGGTTGTGTGAATTTTATACCAATGAATTCAGTTTTTAAACAGAAAGTATGACTGTGCTGACAAAGCACATGAGATTCCAGTTCTGCTACATTTACTCAAATAAATGTAACACCTTCCTCTGTACACCTACATTCCCACAGCTAACCCTCCATATTAACTATTTTCCTAGTATGACAAACACTGCTGAAGAAGAACCCCTGGGTGGTAGGCAACGTTCAGCACAAAGCTATCATATGTATCTTGTGATTCACATGTGTGCCATCCTAAGGGCCCAGTGAAATAGCTGGCAGGATTCTCTAAAAATGTTTAGCGAATTCAATTTTGAAACCCAGGATCAATATTATAAAGAATTATGAACTCTTGTAAAGCTACCACATATATGTTTACATTTAAAAATATTTTTAATAGTGAAGGTTCAATGGTTTATTACTAGGTTTAATTAAAGATACAGTCTCCGTTCTTTGAGGACTGAAGAAGAAAGAGGATAAATTGAATTAAAATGAAAATATAGCTTTTTGAAGAAAGTTGAATTCTTTGGCATCATCTGTGACATAATAGGCCACTATTTCTACACACGGATTATTTACGCTATAGTTTGTCTCAGTCAATGGAGAGTTTTTGCTTTAACTAGCTCTATAAACATCAAACCATTTTGTTACAGGTAATCAGCAGCACTTTGCTGCTTGATTAAAAAAGAGATTTCATCTTTCACAGGATGACACTTTAATGAAGAGAAAGGAACACCACTGCCCATTAGGAAATGCAGGTAACAAATAGGTTTCTGTACTTGCCAAGGCCTTGGCAGAATATGAGCAGTCAGGAAGATTTCCAAATGGAAACAAGTTATATTCAACTATTTTAGAGAATTCAGCCAAGCACAGCAATTAGTCCCATGTGTGGCTTTTATCGTCCACAAGTAATAAAAGTATAATAATGCCTCTGACCTCGTGTCAAGCAGCTTTGATTCTTCAAGCTATTATATAAGTTCTGACAGAAGGCCTTAAAGGACGAACTCAGCATAAAACACGAACCATTCCGTGTCCATAAATTATAAAAACCAAAGGGTCTTTAGATTTTTAACGGAACAGGGTGAACTCTTTAAAGTAATTAAGCAATAACAGAATAATCTTTTCAAAGTAGAACAAACAAATGGAAAATATACATCATCTCCTGCATGTACATAGAAGTGTTCAGAAATTGCTTTCTATCAAACAAGACTTAATCTGCAACACGGTCCTTCCTGTTCCTCAGGCCAGGAATGGTTTAAAAATTAAATAGTCGTGATGACTGTGGCAAAACTTTCTCTCCCCTGAGCTCTCTCTCCCTTTCTTCCTTCACACCTCTTTCTGCTTTCCGTATTCCTTAGCTCTCTGCCTCACCAGGCTAATCTGTTTTGAACTTTGAGGCCTGCCTAATGCTTCAGCAGGGTGGATTTTAACCAAGACTTTCAAACCTTAACTGTATCCCAACTTTAAAGGTCAGTGTAAAAATAATTTAAAGTATGAAGTTTTAAAAAGGGGCAATTTTTTTTTTCCCAATTCTATTCAGTCATCTTTGCAATGGTGCAAAAGTACCTAATAAATAGCAAAACCTGGGAAAGGTCAAATAGGAAATTATTAATAAATGCTAAATAACCCAGTGCCAGTGCCAGCAATACATAAAATGATGAAATGCCAATTTGGAACCGCCATGTGAAGCAAAAAGTCTTTATATTTAATTGGAAATGTCCGTAACAGAAAAAAATAAAACAAATTTCCAAGCTACTGCTTTACAAGTCTTGATCACTAGAATGATAGCAGGAATTCCATTTCTGCTTAGGATTCTATGATGCAGAAACTTTCATCTTCCATAGATTGTTGTATGTACCTTACTGAAATAAATTAATCTGATGATCTATAGTTTTTCAAAAACTAGCTAATGAATGAAAAAAGGAAGAGTAATTTATAAAAAGAGCTGGGACATCTTTGACCTTAGTGAGAAATTTTGGAGCATTACTTGGCCTCGCACTAAAGGTTATTAGCAGTAAAATACCACATGTTTTGTAGGTATCTAACAACACAATGATTAAATATTGCAATAATATTTATATTTTATGTTTCCTCAATTGTCAGACAAAACCTTAAATGTTTATAATAATTCTAGCCTTTTAGATGAGCTTCTGGAACTTAAATATACCATCGTTAAATCTAATGACCTTAGAAAGTACTCCTTTTTTTATTGCAAGTAACTATCTGTTCTGTGCATATTTATCATTAGTATTTAGCAACTGAATATACTCCATTACTGGAATTCTTTTATCATTTTTATTTTGTATTTGTTTTTCAAAATAGGTTTTTACGAAAAAAATCAGAACTTTATCATGACCTACTATGCTATTACAAAAGATAAATCAAAGATAATGGCTTAAAGTAATATTGTCAGAATTGCTTTAAGCAAACTGTGTTTTAATATGCTGTTTCAGAATCTTTTTGCTTTTCTATTTCACTTTTTCTGAAACATTTTAATTTGTTGGGCTAATAGTAAAAAATCACCAAGATAGTTAAGGATTATAAGCTTACAGACTCAATAAATGACTCCGTGTTAGGAACCAATAAACTAGGTAGCCCTAAACTCACAAAAACGTCCTTAGCTGTTGGATACAATGGTAAGTGGCAAACAATGAAAATATCTTCATAACTTTCAAGCAATTTGGGGGAGTCTTTTTATTGGTTTCTTCATGCAAGAGTCTTCTAAAATGAGATATAGAAAGAATACAGTTTCAAAAAACTCCTAGTTTCAATAATGGCTGTTTTAAGTAATAAGGATAAGAAGATTTATAGTGATTATATTTAAACATTCTCCAGTATACAGTCCCTTGGGGAAATCTGCATTCTGTACAGTAATTAAAATGCCATGCATACTAAAATGAATAGTAAAATATAGGGATAATTTTTGTCCCTGTAGTTATAGTACCTATTTAATAAAATGAATCTCATGTGAAAAAAAATACATGACGTCAATTAACTATTGATTGAAAATTTGGAAGAGTGAGTACAGCCAGAATGTGAGGAAACCAAAAACAAACTAAAATCATCATTGTAACCATGTAATAACAACATCTTACCCTCATAATGCTTGAAACTAGAAATATACTGAAAGGATGTTTTTAAAATTATAACAATGATATAGAAATGTGATCACAAGTTTGGAAAATATCTTTAAAGTAGAAACAAAAATCAGTACCTACAGTAGTGCCTGGTAGGTTAATACTTTATACAACTATATTTCAGGTAAAAATATTATAGTATTTCATCAGGTCATATAAAGTTTGCCATAAATAATTAACCAATGTATACACTATAAAGGGAATTCTACTAAGACAATCAATTTTTACAAACCATGTGCAAGTTTGGTGTAATGTAAATAAACATTTTAGAACAGGTAGTAGACTGTAATATCTACTACAGTAGACTGAAAATATGAGCAAAACAACCGAAAGCTCCCTGTATTCATGAGTTTTGCTGTTTGTTGAAGTCCTTGGTAAACCAATCATGAAGCTAGGTGCACTTCCACAAACCTTAATCCTAGCACTCCGAGAGACTGGGACAAGAGGATCTCAAATTGGAGCCCAACATCAGCAATGTAGGGACTTAGTGAGACTCTATTTGAAAATAAAAAATAAAAATGCCTGAAGACATAACTTCCTGTAAAGCCCTGGTTTCAAAACCTGATAGCACAATAAGTAAACAAATAAATAAGCAAATCAATTGTTAATGTTACTATGCTTGGAAAATATGATGGAAAAATCAGAAGTTTACCCATAGCATTTTATAGTATAGTGCAGTTCAGACATATCTACCTAAAATGAGAATGTGAAGACAGTAGCATATAAACAATTTCAGCAATGTAAAGTTAATAAATCTTGGCGAAACAAAGAGTGTGTTTATGTGAATTCATGGCTGATCAAAATACATTCGAGGCCCTAAGGAGAAATAGGTATTGTCAAGCCTAGTGACTGAGGAACAGAGCTTGTTTATGGAGAAAGCTTTCCTCTTTCTGACCTCATGTGTACACATGAATCAGTGAAGGGAGAAGGAGACAGCCACCGTTACACTCGGCCAGCCAGCCAAATCAGTTCTGAGGAGCAGAGAGTGCTAGGTCTATTGCACTCAGTCCAAAGTCAAGAAGTCATTGAAAAAGGTTGCGCTGTGCTAGAGGCTGTGTTGTCTCAATTACTATGTAAGACCAAGCAAGTGTAGTGTGGAAGGTAAGAATTCTGCGGCCTGATGGTTATCTGGGAAGGGAACTATACATGAAAGGATATCGTGCATATGAAGAAATTGAGAATGTAATATGTTTGATAAAGAAAGCTTTAATAGAAGGGAATACCTGTGGGCATTCCAGGAGTGGTGTTAATAGTGAGGTGTGAATTCCTCTTGAGTTTCTAGGGAACTTAAAAGGTGACTCTGTTACTTTGGGGATATTCCGTGCAGAGAACCAAAGAGCCAATAGTTAGAACTGCATAAGTGCAAAGAAGTATATCACAAAATCTATAAATATATTAAGGAAGAAAAAACGTGTGTTTTTTTAAAAAGATAGCATACTGTTTTCAAAAATGGGTTAATTTGTTAACTTTTTGAATAACTTAAAATATTGTTTGCTACATCAGGTATAACTTTAAAAATTACTTCAATGGAATCTGCAGTTTAATATGTTTTACTTTCCAATTTCTGATACTGACTATAATGTGACTTTGGTATGTATATATTTACACAGAAATAATGCTTTTGAAATCTTTTCTGAAGATGCCACAGTCCTGTTAGCGATGCAGTATTCGTGAAGGGAAGCAAACTTACACTGAGTGCTCCTGTTTGCAAACAAATCGTTCATGAACAGAGACATTCGTGAACAGAGGCATTGCTCTATCATGGTACCAGTTAAGAAAACTATGCTTATATCTCCGAGTGCTCATATACCCCTCTGCTGTATCCCTGTGAGCAGTGCCTGTGGTTGCAGTCTCTGATCCTGGAAAAAATGTAAGAGGTCCACTGTCCATGCTCTGCACGCAAGGCAGATGTTTTCCCATGGTTGACTCCTGGACCAGCCCCTAAAAGTGGCTTGTCTGACGTGTCAGGTTTATATGAATGGAAAACCCCGTGCTGACTTTTATAAACACAATTTCCTGCTTTTATTCCCACCTTGCCTAAGGGGGAGAATAATTTTTATTTCCTAATAAACGATTAAAGCAAAGTACTTTCAAGAAATATCAGATTATGGAACTAGGAGCAGGAGCAAATTTCACTGAAATATTTGAAATCCTGTAAAGCAGCATTGCAGTTTTAACTTCTTTTAATATTTTTCTTAATTACAATAATATATAGTTGTAAAAAGCGTGACAATATAAAATGTATAAAGGCTAAAAGACCATTTTTACCCCAGAATCAAATAACAAACGCATTAATATTGTGAACTATTTCTCATCAGATTTTTTTTAAACTTTTTTGTACTTTGGATTATAATGAAGTAATAATTTTATAGTCTAATAGCTAAAGATCACTGTTATAAATATAGAGTGATACTTTTGAAAATCTATAATGAATATATTTTCTGAATATATTTTGTTTTGTTTCTGATCTGTAAATGTATTACAATTAATCTTTTCATTTTACTGGATATCAGTTAAGGTTATTTTCTTTCTAAATTATCTTTCTTTCCTGCTTGGACAAGGGAAAGAAAAAGCCTTTTTTTAGTAAGCATGTTCTTAAATGGTAGTGAAGCTGAACATTTTATGCATGTTATAGTGAGGTCTGTGTTTTATTTTTATTATTTATCTTTTGAGTAATATAGGAGATTATGGTATTGGAGATCTATATTTTAATATTCACTGCACATCAGTTACTAGATACTTTGGGACAGAGAAAGATATTAACTTCCACAAGATCATGTAAATAAGAAGTGTTTATTGTCTTTAATTGTTTGATCAGTCTTGCATTCTTACATCTGGTAATCTGAGCAAATTTATTGAAGATAATAATACGTATTATAACAACCATTATTAATTCCTATCATCTTGTTTTGAATCCTGTATCATTTTTATTGTTTTTTGTATTGTTTTGCTTTTGTCTTCATTGCTGTTATTTTGTTATTTTTTGCTCTTTAAAAGAAAAGAAGTGTTTAAAATGGTGTGGTAAACAACTTTTGCATTGCATTTTTAAATTCGAGGGGGTTTTCATTGCTATACATTGCTTTTTAAAATTAAGTGATCCTGTTTGTTGATTCTTTGTAGTATTTCCTGTGTAATTGTGTTTTGTTCAGAAAGTATTTGCCTAAACCTATGTCTTCAAGTGTTTTATATGTTCTACTTTCAAGCATAATTTGTTTTAACATTTGATATCTTTGATCCATTCTGATTTTAGCTTAGTGCATAGTGAGAGACATGGGTCCAGGTTCAATCTTTGGCATATGAGTAGCCCCTTTTTCCAACACCATTTGTTAAAGAGGCTATTTTTTAAGCAATACATTTATCAGAAATGGTTTTTGCTGCTACTGTCAAAGATAAAGGAGCTAACTGTGCCTGGAGTTGTTTTTTATCCTCTATTCTGCTCCATCGACCCATAAGTGTGTTTTATTTACTTTTGCCAATACCATGTTGTTTTTATTACTGTAGCTTTGTTGCATAACCTGAATTCTGAGAAATTAAATTATCACAATTTGCTGATGACTTGGCCTTCTACAAAGAAGACCCCAAAAGCTCCACCAAAAGATCTTAGAATTAAGAAATAAATGCTGCAGCATAGCAGGACACAAAGCCAACATTTAAAAATCAGCAGCATTGCTGTGTTGCAGTTCATGACCATGGCATGGCACAATGGATGAGAGATCACTTGGAGTCAATGTCCAATTTCTACTCCAAGAAGGCCCAGAGGCACTGCCCTTAACCATGATCCCTCAGCATGAGAGGATCTCATAAAGATGGCCTGGACTCAGGATTCTATGGCTTTTTATTGATAGAACCAGGAAGAAAAGATAAAGGGTCAAGTAAGTGATAAATCAGAATATAGGGAGGAGAGGATCAAAAACATTCATTCCTTAAGGCAATGTAGTTTGATCCTACTGGGACTTGTGGTTCTATATGTTATCTTTTAATCTTTAACCATGCATTTCAGGAGGTTTTGGGTGTATGGGTTCCAAGATCCCTATCTGTGCATATCCATGTGATACATATCTCTGGCTAATATGTCCCCATATCCCTCTTCTTTTTTTTGTACACAGGTTTGGGAAAGAAGGATAGGACAAAGAGAGAAAGGATATTGGGCTTGGTAAAGAAAGATCATTCATCGCTTCAGCATGCAGCATCCACTGAAATAGTATACTGGGGACTTTTAAGACTGCAATAAAGTGCAAAAAAATATCGCAATATGTATAAGAATCCAAATGCAAAGGTTGAGAGAAAGAACCACTTCCTAGGGTTAGATTAGAGATTAGTATCCTTGAGATGGACTAGAATAATGTTGAAAGCTTCTACCTGAAGCTTATAAAGTTGAGCCTGAAGCAGGCCCTGGAGACCAGTAATTTCTCTGTCTGGATTTGTGTGCAAAACATGGAGAAGGTGTTGGACCTCCTCCCGACTCAGAATGGTTAAATAGAATGGGAGTGGTGCACCTGGAATGGTAACCGACATCACAGCTTAGCCTACTATGTGTCCAAAGAACTTGATGTTTGCAGAGCCATCAGACAACTGCCTCAGAGAAGTATCCTGTAAGATACTTCTTACAGGATACTTTAAGGAGCTAAGAATTATCATTTTGAAAATAATCATTCATTGTTGGGATGGTTTGGATGGAATGAGTTAGAGTGACAGCCACTCTGCCTGCAGTAGCTGCCAGTACTATAGCTGCTATGTTGCCCAAGACCACTTTTGCCTGAGGTTTAGGTGCTGATGTAATTTTTTAAAGCACAGACTCTCCCAGCCAATTGAGCATAAGACTGTGGGAGATCTAGGCTTTAGCCCTTCCCTTAATCTAAGCACCATAAGATGAGTAACACAGTATTTAATTGAGAAATATTATTATTATGGAACTAGCCACATGGTAATATTGAGGACTTAAAACACTGGTACAGAGGAGTGGATAAATTGTAAACATTGCAAATAGGTTCCTCCTTAGTGAAAAATAAAATATGTGGGCAGGAAGAACAGATTTTAACATGATCGTAGATGTCATAGCGATCAGTGTGAGCTTATGTATATGTTGATAACTGCTGACTCTGACAATGCAAAGAGAGAAAGGAATAGCTAAGTGCAGTGAGGCTTTTTAAATGGAATATAAGCAGGTGGTGGAAGAAAGTAAGATGAATAACAGAGAGACTGGTGGACCAGCATGAAGCCCACACTAAAACCAGACCATCTCTTATGGAGACCCATAGAGAAGAATTTATGGGAAATTGGATTTAGGAAGGTGTCTGCTAGACACAGAGGAACCTAGGGTTCTGGCAGGGAGACGGGTATTGTTGGAAGAGAAGGGAGGTCAGGGTCTCCTCATGTACCATATATTGGAGGTACAGTTAAACAGAAGCAGAACAAAAAGGGAATCCTTTTACTTTCACATTTTCAGAGTTATAGGTGCATTGTCCTACCATTGACGAGAAGAGGATTTTAGGGGTGGAAGGGATATAGTTTTTTGTAGCATCTGTTCAGTCTGTGCAGTGAGCTGTTGAATCTCTCCCCGTGTATGTTCTAATGATTGTGTTGTAGATGGTTCCAGACTAATTGTCCTCCCTTGTTCTCCACCCTGGCAGGGAAGCACCATCTCCTACAGCTCAGGGATGGGATTGTTTCTCACAGGGTGATACAACAGATGCATACTCCCTCCCCTGAGTGAGCAATTTTATAGAACTCAGTTCTTGCGGGCCAGATGAGGTCTTTGCTTTGTGGGAACAAAATATTTTTCCACAGTGTGAAGCTGTCTGAGTCACAATTTTAAAAAAATTAAAGAGTTCTTCCTATAATTATTTGAGTGCTTCCTATAATTATTCTTGTGGGTAAACTCTATCATAATCCCCTTTTTTGTTTTAATAAGAACAAAATATAGTTGAGTTTTAAATAGTAATTCTGCTGCATGGGGTGACTGGTAAATCAAGAATAAAGGGCTGTATGGTGCCCTTTTTACCCTCTGGGCTGACATAGATTAAAAGGAATTTCCTTTGGTGTTCAGTTCTATAGTTGTGAAGTCCTAAAGTAGTCACGAAAGAAAATGTTGTCTGTCAGGAAGAAGGCATATAAGTAATCAGAATAAGTACCAACAAAAACATGAATATATTCGTTTGCCAAAAGATTTATATTGAGTTGCATTTATTTGCCAAATTCATTGACTTTTAAACAATGGAGATTGACTAGTAGCAGTAAATTTTATCAATAATGGTTGTCTTAAAAGTTTGTGTAGAATATTAACAGATAAGAATTATAAAGTTTCACAGGGAAAACTTGAGATAAAAAACAATATAACATTTTAGCATAATCATCTTTTTTTTTTTTTTTTTTTGGTTTTTCTCCGGTACCGGGAACCGAACTGAAGACCTTGCGTTTGCCAGGCAGGCGCTTTCGCCGCTGAGCTAGATCCCCAGCCCCCTAGCATAATCATCATAATGACATTATTATATCTGAAACATATTTAAATGTCCAGCATAAAATTTATTTTCAGTTATCTTTATCTAATTACAAAATATTAAATGGCATAAGGAAACTTTAATTTAATTTGTCACTTTCATCCACTTTCTGTTTACAAAGTTACATTTAAGTAAAATCTACTTATTTACAAATGTACTTTATATATTATTAACCTCAAATATTTTAATTTTTTGAGTGACATTGCCAGGATTGCATGATGTCTGGGTATCTTTAATTGTTATAGTTACATAAGAATCAAACACACATAAACATGAAAATCATTCAAGTCATCCAGTTGTTATTCACATCAAGCAGGATTGACCTGTACATTTCAGCACAAATACCTGAAGCACAAGTAAAGAAAAGCCAGATGCTTGATCCTAAAATAAATCTGTCACCATAGGTCACCAGTGTGATACAAAGTTATTTAACTTTGTATCTTTCATGGTCTGTACACTTGGGAAGCACAAAATATAAAACAATATTCCATAAGGTTAGCAATAATTGGTACCACAACTATATAAAAATCTTTGCATATATTTAATTTCTACTCTGCACACAAATTTTAGACTCCTTTAACAGGTGTTATAAGGTGTAACTATACTGACAAGAATTAAAGATACTTTTACAGATCTGGTATGTTTTTGAAACAGTGTAATGACCACAAACAGACTTACTACCCAATATACAAATGTATCTCATTTGTACACTAATAAAAATGTTTGCTTAATCAAAGCCAATAGATGTAAGTCAACTTAAATGTTGGGACAAAATTTAAAGAGATGTCAAATTTTCTTCCTTTCATCCATGTAAAGTCTAAATATATATAAAAAGGATAACTTACTTTGTATGTATTGAAGTTGTATAGTCTTAACTCTATAAACTTAACTTGAAACCTCAAATATGTTTTATGTTATAAAGTAATATTTGTGTATTTAATCAATCATGAGGTGATTACTGATTACATTTTATAGGTTAATATTAAAATACTCTTTAACACTTAAAGCTCACATTTTAGTAACTGAAAGGCTAATGAAGAGGTCAAAAGAAACTTATTTTGATAAAATATAAAAGCTTTCCTTTTAAATTTAGTTATATAAGTTTAACAAAGAGAATCCAAATATTTTTAGAAAACCATATCATTTTATTTTTTTTATTTTTTTTTTTTGGGGGGTTTTCTCCGGTACCAGGAACCGAACTCACGACCTTGCACTTGCCAGGCAAGCGCTTTTGCCGCTGAGCTAAATCCCCAGCCCCCAACCATATCATTTTAGACATAGAAAATTTAATCTTTTAATTATACCCAAAAGTATTACACTAGATGACCTATCATAGAGACAATTTTTATTAAATCTGTATATACTATATTTGACCAGAAAATATCTTAAGTTAAGGTATACAGACAGTAATAGACATTTCATATATAAAGCTAATTTTTTATATTATCTTGGTTATGTAAGAACCTAAATGGAAACATATTACCAATTTTAAAGATATTTTTACTCTTATCAACTGATTTAAATTAGTCTACTTTTAAGCTATATGAACCTCAAGGATTTGAGATAATGTCTTCAGTGTTTATTTACCTATAAGCTAATTTAAGTGTAATGTTTAGAGGATAATATATATAGCTGAAAGAACACACAGAAACATTAATGTTTTAGTCTAAGTCATATGTAATATTTATGTTATCAAATTTTAAGGTTTGTATTCCTATTTTAGCCTCAAGTCTGTCAGTCTTTATCTGGAGCCTTGGATAATTTTTTCTTGTTGCTGAGGCAAAATACCCAACACTCAAAATGAACAAAGGAAAGGTTTATTTAGCTCACAGTTTGTGGAGGTTTCAGTCCATACTCAGCTGGCTCCAAGGTAGGGTGGCGTGGCAGAGGGCAACAGTTCATGGCAGTGGAAGAGAGTAAAGTAACAAGAGCAGAAGACAGGGTGCAAGCCTCTTTTCCTCTTTATATTGTAAGCACTCGGGTGGGTGTAGCACTCACACCATCTCCGTGCCCTCCTTTTGCACAGGATGAAGATATTTACAAAGTGAGGACCCTGGCCCCCTGCTGAGTTCCTTAGTTAAACTTCAAAATTTCTCCAACTTGACACAAGGTATCAACCATAATATCTGGTAATGTTTCAAGTAAGTTTGGCTACCTGAAAACCTAAATAAATGGTCTTTCTGTGGAAATTTAAACAAACAAAAATAGACATAAAAATAAATCACTGAACTAAAGAATAATTTTTCTTAAACGAAGCAGCTGCAAGTACTTTAACCAGTTAGTAATACACAGTAAACAGACAGACAGACAAATACTCAAGCAAGACAGTCATTTTTAGAGTGTCCTGTCAGATATATTGGCCAAGTAGAATTACAATGACCCTTTTGCAGTTTTCAGATTGGTAAGTAAAAACAGACTAATTAAAATTTTTCCTATAGATCATCAATTAACAAAGATGTTTTATAATAGGAATTAGAAGGAAAAAACCCTTTTACACTATGAAAGCAAAGACTGTTATTAGGGGAGTTAGCTGATCATTTATCTTATTAGAATAGACCTCTTGCTGGAAAACAAATATGCATATATACACAAGATAGCTAAGACAATTGTACTACTAATTTCTATTGCTTAATTGAAAGGAACAGTTAGTGTTTAATTGTTTGATCAATCTTACATGCCTATATCTGGTAATCTGAGCAACTACTTTGAAGATAACAATAAGCAATACAACCACTGTTGATTTCCTATCCTTTTGTTTTGAAGGTTTGTATAGTTTTTATAGTTTTTGTCTTTGCTTTTGTTATTTTTTGTTCTTTTCTCTTTAAAATTAAAAAAAAACCTGTTAATAATTTCATAAGGATCCCTAGGAATATTTTTTGTTTTATCAATGAACTTGTCTGTGCTGTAATAACCAGTTAGGTCAACCTGTGTAGAAAGGCTGATAAATTTGGACTAAAATGTTTACATTTATTCTTCATGTGTCCAAGGATCAAATCTAGGTCAATTTTTAATTTTAATTTTAGGGTTTTTTGAATAATATGGCCCAGAGATAAGTAATGGTCAGCTTCACTGTAGAAGGATCACAAGGAGAGGGAAAACCTGATCCCAGAATGCAGCAGTTGCAGAGGAGAAAACTGCTCTCCAGCAGGAGCACCAAATCCACCAGTCTCAAGGATAAAAAGACAATGAAGACCAAAAGCTTTACCAGTGTGCGTCTCCAGACCTTAGCAAAACATGTCTCCAAAGACAAAAACTGTGATTAACTCCAACTGCATTGCCAGGCAGAAAATCAACAATGAAAGAACTTGAATGGCTGCTTTTTAAATTTTCTGAGAGGGAAACAGACTTGTATGACAGCTTGGAGATGCCCTTTAAACTTTAGAGTTTGGGGCCCATATATGTGTGTGCTACTGCCTTTGTAAAAATAGTGATGGGGGTCCCTTTTTCGAGATAAATTTGTCCCAGTTTAGCATAACTTCTTGGATTGAGTTTTCTTGGTTTTAGCTTTCTCTCCTTTCCCCCCCATTTTCCTTTTTCTTTTTTTTTTTTTGGTACCAGGAATTGAACTCAGAACCTTGTGCTTGGCAGGTAGGTGCTTATTCCACTGAGCTATATCTCAGGCTATTTTCCTTTTCTTATTTTTCTGTTTTGACCTTCTTATTCTTTTCTATTTGATTTTGTTACACAAGTCCAACTGACGTATGATATTACAATTTTAGTTTTCCTTCTGACTGTCTCTGTTGTTCCCCTACATGGCTAGAATTGCCAGGAGAAATTCAGAAGGAGCTAAAGAAGGAGGAACCCATTTTATGCGAATTTTCTTCATCGGAGTAGGTCAAACAACAACCCCGCAAAGACTCTAAGAAGCAAGTGCACGGCTTTTATAGGACCTAATGACTGTCTCAATTTTAGACCCACGTGTATCCAATCCTCCATCTCCAGAATCTCTTCCAGAGGAAACCATGGGCATTGTTGTGGAAGTCTACCAATAATTGCATAAGTTGAGGTTCACAAATTTTACATCCAGATGTCTTTTAGAGACATTGTAAATGTTGCTTAAATTGCTTTTCCTCTTTGGACAAAGATTGTTCCTTACTATGTGAATACAAACAAAAGAACAAAAAGAACAAATGAACTGGCCCTGCTCCCTTAGCAACTGGACAGGTAAAAGACATCTGTGCTCATAATCCTAACCTGCAACCTCGCTGAGATGTGCCAGGCTATTCCATGACTGTCTTTGTCCCCTTACCACGATGGATGAAGAGTTGGATGCATTCTTGTCCCTTTTTCAGGTTTTGGGAGGTCGGTCCTCTGGATTGAGTTGTGCCAACTGTTCCTCACATGTGCCTGAGCAGGGGTGACACTTACTGCAGTTTACAACCATGGCGTGGTGCAAAGGATGAGGGATTACTTGGAATTAACGTCCAATTCATTCTCTAAGAAGCTCGGAAGGACTACCCTTCGTGGAGACTCTTCAGCATGAGAGAGTCTCATAAAAAGTGCTCTAGACTGAAGCACTGTGGCTTTTTGTTGCTAGAACAAGACAGCAAGGATAGAAGACTAATCTAAGTGAGAAATCCAAGTATGGGAAGGAGAGGGCCAGAGAACTCATTCCTAGGACCATGTGTTTTGACCCTAACTGGACTTGTGAACCTGTAGGCTTTTAATCTTTAACCATGTATTCTGGGAGGTTTTGGTTGTACGGACCCCAAAATCCCTTTTAGCTGCATATCCATTTTATACATTCCTCTTGCAAATGCTGCCACAGTCCTGTACATCATTAACAGATGCACTGAGAGACACAGTAGACAAATAACTCCCTTCACAATGGCATAAAGAAAAATGAAATACTAAGGAATTAACCTAACCAAAGTTAACTAAGCAATTAACTTACACTTTGTAGAGCGAAAGAGCTCTACAATGGAAATTATAGTGTCCTGAAAAGGAAGACCAAAGAGGATGTTAGAAAAAGGAAAGATGCCCCTGTTGTGGGATGGGCAGAACCAGTAGAGTATAAGTGGTCACACTTCCAAAACTGTTATACAGATTTACTGAATCCCAATCAAAACACCAATAGCATTCCTCACAGAACTAGAAAACTCAATCCTAAAATTAATAGAGAACCAGAAGAAAACTAGATTAGGAAACAATATTTTTGATGAGCATGTCTGATGAAATCAGGCCTTCAGAAGATAATCTCTCTTTTGTAAGGTCCATTGATTAGCAGTTTAATTCTATCTGCAGAATGGCTCCGTGTCAGCACCTAGATTAGTGTGTGGTCAGATGGCCAGAGAAACACCTGTTCACTGGGGCCAAAAATCTTACAGTTCATCTCAGAATTCTGTGTACCATAAAGGCTGATGAAAACACAAAAGAAACACTCACTGTCTTGTTCCGGTCCTCTCCTTCATGTGATGCTGTGTGGTATGACAGGACACTTCAAACAATACCTGCACCTCACAAGATGCCAGCACTTAAAAACAGGACTTTCCATCCTCCAGAACTGTGAGGCATAAATTTCGTTTCCTTTATAATTTAACAAGTCCATGGCATTCTGTTTCAGCTGTGGAAAATAGACAGAAGCTGTCCTATATAATAATGTCTCCTTTTATTGTCGGTTTATTATAATATATTTGAAGTATATTTCTTACATAGGACTTGTAATTTGGTAGTGTTTAAAAAAACTCAGCTTCCAGGTGTTTCTTTTAAATTGGAATACTTAACCCATTTGCATTTCAGATAATTTTCAGGCATTAATGAGCCTTGCTGGGGCTATAACTCAGCAGCACCAACGCCTGCCTGGCAAGCGCAAGTCCCGAGCTCGATTCTTAGTAGGAAAGAAGAAGGAGTCTTTAAATCCACCATTTTTGTGAATGCAGTTTCTCTAACTTTGGGCTCTATTTCTCCTATCCTCCTCAGATTATATTATTATTTCTTCAAATTATATGCTAATTTATTTATAGGCTTTCTAAGAGTATACATACATCTATAGGTTTATGCATATTTATTGGCTGCTCTGGCTGTTCGACTCACACATATAGTGCATATACACATACATAGCTAAAGTCATGGTGCGTGGATGTTTTACACTTTCAGTGAACTACTGGAACTTTGATAGTTGTGATGGGATCCTTGGCTACCTTCCCAGCCATTATGTGTAAAGAGATTGTCTAGCTTCAATGATGAAGAATATTTTTCTGACTAAACTTATTTATTAGATCATGTCTTATACCACCTCATGCCTGCCCACTCTCTTTAATAAGAGAGAGTAATTTCTGGCCCAAGCTGCTAAGGAGCACTTCTTGGGAAAGGTTTGTTCTTGTGTCATGTAATTTACTCTGCTGGGAAGTTTCCCTGGTGGAATATTGTGTTTGTATTCCTGTGTGACTGTGACAGAATGAATCTACTGGACACCTCATGACACTTGGTTGGGCTTCAGTAATGCTGGGACTGGTATGTGTGTATCACTGAGTAGGTAAGGGGTGGGCAGACATTTCACTATTAATTCAATCTTGGGATCATCAACCAATTTGACTTTCTTGTTTTACCTTTCAAATATTTTTACATGGTTGCCTCTTGCATAATTTCCAGGTCAAGCTAAATAGAATACCTCACATAAATATTTCATATCAACTTCTTTTTTTTGGGTAATGGGACTCAAGCTCAGGACCTTAAGCTTTCCAGGGAGGTGCTTATGCCACTGAGCTATATCCCTGGCCCAAGTTCTTAGGTTTCACAATTAAAAATATGAATATTTTGGGACAGCATTATTAAAAAATTAAGAATGTGTTAGGGCTAAGAACACAAGAGATAATTAATTCTATCTTAATCAAATATATAACATAGTTTAATAGTCAAATAACCTATGGCTGTACTTCTTTGCAAAATTATAGAAGCCAGCTTTAGAGTACAGATATCATCTCTTCTGCTACCAATCAGTATCTTGCAAATGCACTTTTCTTATGACTGGAATGTGCACAGAATATTTACTAAATATATTTAAATCACTTCACATGTACTGTTTCATAATTAGCTTGAAATTTTTCACCCAAACCTAGCTTCAATAATTAAATAATTGCTTTAACTATTCTCAAATAAACACCTAGACTCTAATGGCATCTCCTGAGTTTCTCAGTCCCAGTAATTTGCACCAGTATCTTTACTTGGATTGTCATAATAGCCTCCTAAGTATTCTACTCTACTTACAGTTTCTCTCATGACTCCACTTCAAATCTCCCCCATCTATTCTCAGTACAACTTGCAGAACTACCCCTTTGTCTTGGTTATTTTTCTCTCGTTGCTGAGACAAAATACCCAATGCCCAAAATGAAGGAAGGAAAGGTTTATTTAGCATACAGTTTGTGGAGGTTTCAGTCCATACTTGGCTGGCTCCGAGGCAGAAGGTAGCAAAGTGGGGAATGGCAGCTGAACAACAATGCAGCCAGAGCAAAAGGGAGGAATGGCGGCAAGCAGGTTCTTTCCCTGCCTTACTTTGTAAACAGGCTACCCCCACCTAAGGGGCGTGTAGCTCTCACATAATCTCCATGCCCTCTTCTTCCACAGGCTCAGGATGTATACAAAGTAAGCACCCTGACTTCCTGCTGAGTCACTTAGCCAAACCTCTAGACTCCCCAAGTTGACACAATGTATCAACCATAACACCCTTTAAATATCAGCTTGTATCACCTATTAGCTTGTATCACCTCACCTCAAAAGCCTCTAATAGTTCCCTGGACCAATGAGTGTCCTGATAGGGAGCAGAAGTTGTTATTAATTTAGGTCATTTGAAAAGTGATTGATAAAAGAGCTTTTTAATTGATGTTGGCAGCATTCACTTCAAGGAAACCCCAAAGCAGTCCCTCGGAGGGGGTAGTTACAGTAAGTCTCCATTGACCACTGACAGTGCAAGGAGAATAGCTGTAGGGTTCAGTTCAACTGATAAAAATTAGAATAGAGTCCACGATAGATAAAATGTCAGCTAAAGAACACTGACTGTTTTCCTTTATTTGTAAGTGACCTTTCAAAATAAAGACAATCCAAACTAACACAAGTGTGATCCTTTTTTCTCTAAATATAGACATGGGATGGTAGATGTGCATGCGTTTCTATGTGCAGGCTCAGGGCTGTGCCGCTTACAAAGTGTAACCAATTCTATTCTATTCCACAACACTCAGTCTGGGCATCTGCCATTATAATACTGACTCACTGTATTCATCCTAAGTTAAAAAGAGAATAAGATGTTCAACTAATGTATTTCTACTGAACAAATATAAGACATTGCTTTTTGATCTTGGTGACATTTCTTTTATTAATCCAATATTGTCATCATTTAAATATTGACTTACTACTTGCCAAATTGAGAATAAACCAAAAATTAATCTTGAGAGTAAAAGAAAAAGTGCGCGCCTTCAAGATTTTGTGCGTAAATTCTACTGAAATTATTATATGAATGAATGTCAGTATTAGTCATCACTT